GTTCAGCGCGCTCGAATTAACTCGAGCGTACAAGTTAAGGGGTTAAGTTCATTATTCTTAATGAACTTAAGAAACTGCAGCGAATAGAAAGACTGCAGCGAATTTCTATTCGCTGCACCTAATACTTAAGACATTCTTACAAGATGAGGGAGTTAGCGATTAGGTATATATACATAGAGAGGAAGAGGGGAGCATGCGGGCGCCATGAATGCGTCGCTCCTAATTTCCAGATATCCGCGGAGTCGACGCGGATCAGTGGCACGAGCTCTCGACGACAGTTCGCAGTTTCTGCTCGAAAGCTAGGCCCCGTGGATAGAATGAACCAGTGAATTACAAACCACGAGCCGAGGAACCATGAACCACCGGGACGAAGACTAACACGGGGGAAGGGGGACGACGACGAGAACGCGAGACGCTCGTCAGCATTTTCAACGTTTTCAGCGTTTTTCCACGGGCCGAAGTGTGCCAAGTATTCGGGAATGACAAGCGAGAAACCGGTCGATAGAATAGCTGGTTACGAAAGACGGGACCGCAAATACAAACAAGCTCGCTAAGCGAGACACAACCGGTGGCCGCGCGCCGTTCGACCGTAATTACGAAAAAGGGCCAACCACCTGATTCTAATCCTACCGCGCGTTTGTTTACCGGACGTTTGACGGCAACCGCTTTTCTTTTCTTTTTTTCCTCGTTATCTAAACAGCGAACGTTTACAGGTAGATTCGAATCTCGACGGAAATGCCCCCGGAACATCTCCATAGAACCCGTGTTCCGATAAGCTTCGATCGTATATTTCATAGTATCGACGAACGGTGTTTACCCGCCTCCGATAGCCAAGAGAATCGTTTGATTACTACGAGGTAAACGACCGATTCGAAGATGCACAATTTTAACCGTGTATCGGTTACGGCGACAGAGTCGCTGTCCGTTTCTTTACGATATAGATTTTGTTTCGATTCCATTACGATCAATATGCGTACCCTTGATCACCGTAGTTTCATATGCGGCAGGACGTCAACTTTCACGATAGACTATCTGGTTTTTACGCAACATAACGCATACACACGCGTACACACACCTAGCAAAACCAGCATTATTTCGTATTTCTGAATTTCGATACAGGTATTTGTATCCTTTCACAGATCGTTCGATATTATTCACCGACACGTCGAATATTATAAACAAGTTAACGTTATCGTTATCATCATTTTCGTAGTTTGAACCTGTTTACATCGTTGGTTCGGGTGTCGGTGACATTTTGGCGAGATTCGCGTACGTTCGATCATTAACTTATTTTCTTATTATATCGACTTATTATTATAATAATCCTTTGTTAATTAATAAATAATCTCTTCGCTAGTGTCATTCGTATCTTTTACCGACATCTCGGACCTACATACATCCTCCGTTGCATTTAACTAAACAACTGTTTGCAGTCGGTTAAATTGTAAGTACAAAAGTGATCTTTCGAGGATATCAAGGATCAACCGTGTATCCGATCGGCAGTGCTTTAGCCGTTCGAATATCCCGTCTATTTTAATCGATTTGAAAACAGCGATGTTTTCTGATCGACGAGATGAAGTCATAAAGCAGCGAGAGAACATTTCAAGGCATCTTATGTATACACACGGTCTGTCTCGCGGTGACGTGACGTACACTATGCGAACAAGACGGTTACACGTCCCTTGAATTTCCTCGGTAACGAACGAGCACCGCCTTTTCGTTCCGAGGCGTCGGAACGTTTAAACTATTTCATCGGAAGCAAAAGGGCCGTACGAACAACGACACGAAGATCTTGTTCTATCGGGTAATTCGATCCGATAAGCTGGACACCGGTTTGCAAAAGACGTGTGTACGAACAGGTTTCGCGAGATTCGTTTCAGGGATCGAGCGTCGTCGTCGTCGTCGTCGTCGTCGTCGTCGTCGTCATCGTCGTCAACGTTGTCGTCGCTTTTACGGGATCATTTAAGATCGAGAACAAGCTGAACAATAGTACGGTCGGATTCGAGACATTACGTATGGAAAATCGAATGACGAATCGGTTGTGATTGGTGGTGGTCCAAAGGGAACAACCAACGAGCGATGCGTATAGAGCGAGGCGCGGTCGATAGAAATACTCGAGAGAGTGTCCTGTGTACCGAGCAAACTAGTTTTCCGAACAATTCGAAATCCCTGTGCAATAAATGAACGTTTGACAGGGGAGAGAAAACGATGTCTCGCACGGGCATTGCTGGATAACGCGTATCGCGGAGCGTGGAGCTCTAGTCGGTTTACTTAGGTAGCGAAACGGCGACAGTATTATCGATTTTATCAACCAAGGGGGCTAGGGGATTCTTTCTCTGGCGAGTGCAGTTACGGGGTGAGTCAGAAAGGGTACGGGCTCGCGTATAGCGGCCGTATCGCGAAAAGCCTGGTGTTTTCTTCACTCACCTTCAGACAATTCGAGATCCAGCTCAGCAAGCTTCTCCCGCACGTCCTCCGGGAGCTTGCCGATGTCGATGTTGAACTCGGCCATGGCTAGGCCATCCGCGGTGCGCCGAGATCACCAATTCTCCAGCCGTACATTCCACGACCCGTCACCACCGCTCGGCCATCTTGCCTTATACTGATGCGATCATTGGCCGCCAGTCGGCGACACCGTCAACTCGGACCGGCACGGGCCGCACGGCGATGGTCCTCCGCGCAAGCGTGCGTCTTCGTCTTCGATCAGTGATCAAATAATGTATTAGGCCTCTAGACCTAAGCCTAGGCCAGCCTAGGATGCTGCCGGTCGCCTACCGTGTCACCGTATTACTGTATTACCGTATCACCGTATTACTGTATTATCGTATAGCGTCTGTCGTCTATCGTCTGCTGTCTATCATGCCGTTTACGACAATAATGAACTAATCGCTACTTCTTGTTTTCCCGAAAACATTCAACTTTCTGATACTTTACCAGATGATAGGTAGACTTTTCAGTGGTCACTTAGTAATATCGGTTGCTTGCAACAGTTTCTCACACTATAAACAAGTACAAGCGGATGTAAACATCCTACAGTCGACCCTACAGCATGATAATATGTATCCACTTATTGGATATTATTGCACTCGATTTTCATTTGTTTGGATCGATACAACATAGCAGTCCTAAAAATGGATCGTTAATTTTATATCCTCAAAAGATACGTTTTCAAATATAGGATGAAATGATTACTTGATTGCTGCTAGAAATTTGCTTTTTTATTGTTAATTTAGTAACCGTTGGTCGAAATTTGATAAGCTTTTTGTAGTAAATGTACATACATACGTGTACGTTTAAACTGTACACACTTGAAGATACTGAATTATCTATGAATCCGTGCGGAAGTTCATGGTTAAAAAATCAGCCGGTTAAGAAGATCAAGAGGAACTACTGTTTGTCTTATCCGTTCGTTTCGATCCGATTGCTATTCTTTTTATGTATCTCGTACAATGACTTTCTATCAAGAGGATGGTATTTTCTTTTAACGGTATCTTTCGGTCTGTTCCAAATCGTTCTACGAAAGACCGAGCGTAGTATGTACAAAAATATCTTTATTTTAATTACATCCACTTAAAACATATATAAATGCCAAATGATATTGTAGAACATGTGCTTATTGCATGCAAGCGCAACACACTGTACAGAAGGGATCAAAAGCGCAGAATCGATATCTAATAATCGAATCGTACGAAATAAAACCTGTTGAATTTAGTAAATCGATGAGATTTAACGCAATCTTTAAGTATGCTACACTTTGAGAAGAATGTCATTTATAATGACTCACTATGTATGTATCGTGAATCGCACAAGTGTTTTTAATTATAAGTGGATTGTTTTATTATTTGATTCATCAGTTTTAATATAAACGTTTAATGTATTCTAAGAAGAAAGTTATACTGGATTTTTTTTCAAAACTGTTCACATCTGTTAGGGGAACAGTCAAGTCAACTGTCATGCGCATTGTATACTATACAATCGTATCTCTCTCCATTCACTGAGTATATTTCACGCTTCGTGCGGGATAGCGCGGGATGTTCCGCAGAATTTAGGGTGTCGCGCGACCTAACCTTCAATATATTACAATTTATCTTTGTTAAAGTATATTTTTCCAGACTTTTTATTTTATTTTATACACAAACATGAATATACTTGAGGATCCTGTTTTTAAAACAAACTACCAAAAATACAAGGTTCGCGTCAAATTATGGGAAAGTCGCTTTACGGAAAAACATGGACGTAAACCAAACAAGGTATTTCAAATAATCAATATTTATAAACAAATGCCAATAACATTAATTTTGATAATATTCATCGGCTGTCTACTATTAATGTGTGAGATTAGTGTTCTTTGTATGAATGAAACATTATTTTATAATAAATGATTTCTTGTAATTTCTAGAATGATATAAAGGAGGCCGATATTAAAATAAAAGAAGCATACAAGATGTACTGGAAACTAAAAACACGTGCCTTAGAGGAAACGCTTATAGATATTACATTTTCAGACGAAGTACAAGATGTTATTTCTAATGAAACCATAACGCAGATATCTGACAATGAAAAGATTGAAAATAAAATATCAATGCATGACAATAAGAATAATATTGGCGATATAGTTGAGAAAAGCATTGAAAATATGGATAATCCTAAAGAGGAAATAGAAACTGTAGAAAAAACTAACATCGTAAGTACTGATACAATAGATATAAAAGACGATAATATTAAAGAAAGTATAGAAGAGAAGAATGTTGATGACACAGGAACAACAGATGCAGATAATATAGTTAAGGAAACTATCACAGACACAGGAACAAAAGATACAGAAAATATAGATCCGTGTTATAATAAAAATCACTCTACCGTTTATGATTCCACACAAGAAGAAACAGATTTGAAAAATGTGAAAGATGTGTGGGGCGACCATTTGAGTAAAAGCAACGAACAAGTGCCTAAGAAAAGACAGTCTCTAATTATAAACAGATCATCTTCCTTTCAACTATCGCAGAATAAATTTCAAGGTTCGAACTTCACAAAAAGAAATCCGAGAAAGTCTTTATCCATGGCAAAGTTAAAAGCCAAGCCTGAAAAAAGCTTTGATTCTGCTGCAAGTAGTAATAACGAACAAATCACAAGCACAGATACAAATAGTAATGATGGATTTGACATCCCTGAGGAGATGCAAAGCATATTTGGAAATTCAATGAAAGTTACTCTAATCGAAGACAAACCAACAACTCAATCTATCAGCACGGTACAGAAATTAATCGAAGGTCATACAGTTAACAGAAATTTGAATTCAGGTTGGTTGGATAGATGTGCCAAGCAGAATAATTTAGAATATTCAACGTTAAATTTGCAAAGACTTTCGGGTACCAATGATTCGGGAATCGAATTAATGGAATCCAGCATTCCATCACCTAAAGAATATATACAAGCACCTACGACCGTACAAATGTCCGACGAAGAAGATTTTGTTTGCAACAGCGACTCAGAAGAAGAACGTAAAAAACGTATTAGAAATATTAAAAAAAGATTAAGCGACCAAGATAATCGTCCTGCTAAAAGGATGTGCGCAGATAATAACATCGGTGTCTGTATTATTATGCATGAGAATGGCAATATTATTACACCACTAAATAGAGAAAAAGCCTGCACCGATTATAGCGTTTCCACGATCCCCGGAATTAAAAATAATAATACGAGCGATAAAGAAACAAGTAAAACTACTAGCAATGAGGAGGACAAAAACAAAATCAACAATACGCTACATAATGTAAATACAAAAGCAGAAACAAGTAATGAAGATGTAGATGAAATGTCAAACAAAAAACAATTGCCTCGCCGCAAAGTTACTAGGAGGAAAATTGGAAATGTTCTATCGGACGATGAAGATGTTGATCCTGATTTCAATGAAAACGATATAAACAAAGATAGAAAGAAGAGTACAAAGAAGAAAGATTCGACTAAAACCCAAGCAAGTGCTACTAGTAAAAGAAACACTACAAATGGAACGAATATCAAAAAAGAGAAGAAAAGTTCTACAGGAACGAATATAAAAAAAGAGAGGAAAATTACTCCGGGAACGAATATCAAAAAAGAGAATAAAAGTACTCTGGGAACGAATATCAAAAGAGAGAAGAAAAGTACTACAGGAACAAAAAGATCTTCTAGAAGGAAGAAAAATGTACAGAATGAAGATGATTTGGATGAACAGTTTGTACAATCTGAAACAGAAAATGCAGAAGAGAGACAGCCCACGATATACGCGATAGAAACTTTAAAAGCTGTTCCACGTTTCGTCATTAATAAAAATGGTCAAGGAGATCTCATCGAGCTATGCACCAAGTCAGTATCTTCTAATGCTGACAACGTATCCATTGATCCCGCTGTGTCCACGGAAATAATTAAATCAAAATCAAACTTAACAGATAAAGAAAAATTAGAGAAAAAGATGGCCGATGGAAAGATAAACGAAAATTTTGTCAGAATAAATTTGAAAAAGAAAGTGTTTGTGCGCGGTAAGAAAAATTTTAATTTTTCCAAATACAAGAAAAATCAATGGAAACAACGAAAAAAGGAGTTAGGATCTAGCGAGGGTAGTTTGGATGTGGCAGATTTCCTCGAGAAACAGAAAATCGCGACTTGCTTTCATTGCGGCGACGTTGGTCATTTTGCGAGACTATGTCCAAACAAGAAAGGAGATGAGCTGGTACCTTTGGACATGGTAGATGAAAGTTCGGAATTCCCAACTCTGGAAGAGGCGGAACAAATGGCTAGTCAAAACGCAGTTGTGGCACACGCTCATAGAATCAGTTCATTGCCGCAAAAGCCGGCTTACTCTTCCAAGACAGAGGATGAGTTGGTCAAAGATGAAACGGAGAATATCAACAGTTCCCTTGAAGATTTATGGGAACCTATCGAGGACGAGGTAAAGTGTGATAGCATTTTTTTCCTTCGTAATTAATCATTGGTAACTCCTACTCTGTACCGAATGACATTTCTAGGATCTTCTGTGCAGCCACAAAATTCCCGAAGACTTAATATCCAAATTATTACCACCCGAGTTCGATACTATACGGCCTTTGTACGACACCAAAGAAGATCAATCGTGCATAGGTAACGTATCGTCGTTTAAGTTATCCTATCCGATAACATCCTGTACAAAAATCTTCAGGAAACCTGCACCTATATCATACGAAAAAAAAATTGATTTATTATTGCAAATATAGAGGACAGATTAATATAAATGTAACCGAATATTATAATTGCAGAAACACCAGCCGAAGTTTTCGAAACATTGCGGCGATTTGGACACGAGAACTTCAGGCCTGGACAAGAGAAAGCTGTGATGAGGATACTATCTGGTCAATCGACATTAGTTACCCTGTCCACTGGCTCTGGCAAATCTTTGTGTTACCAACTACCCGCGTACCTTTATGCGAAACATTCGAAATGCATCACTCTAGTGATATCACCGCTGGTATCTTTGATGGACGACCAAGTGACAGGCATTCCAGAATTTCTAAACGCGGCGTGCTTGCACACTGGTCAAACGCAAAAAGTGCGGGATAATATTATGCAAATGGTGAAAAAAGGTAAAATCGATATCCTGCTGATTTCTCCAGAAGCTGCTGTCGCCGGCGAGAAATCCACTGGATTCGGAGCTCTGCTCAGGCAGCTTCCACCAATCGCTTTTGCCTGCATAGACGAGGCTCATTGTATCTCGCAGTGGTCGCACAATTTCCGTCCATCTTATCTCATGGTTTGTCGAGTGCTCAAAGAGAAATTAGGGGTCAGAACGGTGTTGGCTCTGACTGCCACAGCAACGAAAACAACGGCCGAAAGTATAGTAAGTCATCTGAACGTACATGATGGATTGAATGGCATCATCTCCGATATTCCAATGCCACGGAACCTGTTGCTATCAGTCTCCAGGGACGAGTTCAGAGATCAGGCTCTAATCAAATTATTGCTGAGCGACAGATTGATGGAGTGCGACTCTATCATAGTTTACTGTACTCGCAGAGAAGAGTGCACGAGAATCGCTGGCCTTGTAAGGGTACACTTGCAGGTATAATTTTGGTTCTGACGATATAAATAGCAAAACATTGTCCAGTGAACGACTCTCGATTTATATGTATCATTTGATCAACAGGATCCACGCAATCCCGACAAGCCCAATAGCAAAGTATCTTCGTTGGCGGAACCGTATCACGCCGGTTTATCAGCCTATCGTCGGAAAACCGTGCAAAATGCATTCATGAGCGGTCAAACCAGAATCATTGTGGCTACCGTTGCCTTTGGTATGGGTCTTAACAAGTCAGACATTCGCGCCGTTATACATTATAACATGCCCGGAACCTTCGAAAGCTACGTCCAGGAAGTCGGAAGAGCCGGTCGAGACGGGCTCCTGGCGCACTGTCATTTGTTCTTGAATCCTAAAGAAGACAATGACAAATGGGAGTTGCGTCGTCATATCTACGCGAATGGAGTCGATAGGCACACAATCAGACGATTACTTCAGAAAGTTTTTGTTCCGTGTTCGTGCGCAAAACTGTGCGAGAAAAATGCCGATCGAAGATGTCCCGGACACGAGGTTGCTATACCAGTGGAGGAAACCGTCGCAGCTTTGGATATTACAGAAGAGTCGATTTCGACCCTTCTATGCTACCTCCAACTGCACCCGAAAAGGTTTATCACCGTTCTCTCGTCCGTCTACGTAAGAGCTAGGGTATCTAGCTACGGTGGCCCGCAAGCTCTAAAACAGGCAGCACAATCGGTGGGTGCAACGACCACTTGGCCTTAATTAAATCCTATTTCTACGTCTATAATTTCTAAGGAAATTTATTCTATGATATTTCAGTCGCCGCCGCTTGCAATGGCGATTGCTTTAGATTTGCAAAAAGGTATATCCCACGAGGACAGCAGCCTTATCCAATTTCCAGTCGTAGACGTTGCATCGGCTATTGGCTGGGATAGCGGAGTTGTAAAGAGCCATCTTAAAAACCTGGAGTGGAAGACAGGTGTGTCTATTTATTTGTTGCTAATAAATATATTTAAATGTTGAAATAAGTAAATAATTGTTTGTTATACTTGCAGTTAACGGGCAATCCAAGCGTTCATCGATTTCGGTGAAGTACGACAAGCTAGGATTAAGAGTGAGAGCTCCTGGCGATCTCACGGAAGAGGAACTGGATGAAGCACTGGATGCATTGGTTAACCGTGCGCAATTCCAAGAAATCTCGGCTTTGCAACAACTCGAGACAATTAGCGCGACAGTGCATAAGTTTAGCATGCCATCGGTGACTCAGTGCTTGACCACAAACGAAGACATGACTAGCAAATCCGAAGATATGAAGAGCGTTATTAGAAAATACTTTGCCGGAGAAGTACTTCTGAATTTCGATCCAAAGCAACAAGTATGGAACTTCGTATAAAAGTTACACTGTATTTAAGTAGAAAAACTTGTATTTCGTCGACTAAATGTAACCTTTATATTTTTGTTTCAGGTGAAAATACACAACGAGACGGAGGTGGTCGGTGATATTCGAAACTTAATTGTAAGCTATCGAGATACTAATTTCAATGGCCGCGCGGTCGCTCGAATCTTTCACGGTATACAGAGTCCGAATTATCCTGCATACATTTGGAATAAATGCCGCTTTTGGAGATCTCATCTTTCCTGTAACTTCAATGCTCTGTGTCAATTGGCAACTAGAGAAATTTTAGCATTGCGTTAGTAAAACACATGTTGGAACAATTGTAATTTATTTCTGTAGGACTGTTAGCTTGATCTCGAATCGTCAAAGAAACTATTCTTTACGGATGATTCTGGAGACATATTATAGGATAAGTCAATTGTATAATAGATTTTCTAATCGTTTTCAACGGGTGCTGGACCGAGTAATTTTATTTAGATAAAAACAAAAAGAAAGGAATATCGATTATTAAAGATTGTATATCGCTTTATTGCTTCGATAACGAGTGACAAAGTTATTGATATAAGTTGTGATATGCGAAATATTTACTTACAAGTGCCTTAATAAAGTAACTTATTTTTTACATTTATGAAATAAAGTTTAATATGAACGGTCTTGTAGTTTTGATTAAATAAACGATGGCTCACTATCTTCTCATTCGTTGTCGCACTTTTGAACATGTATGAAAAATTAGGAAACAATCTTTTCGTAGGTAGATATACTCGAGAAACTATGTTATACTTTAATGTCCTTATCGATAGTCGACAGACTATTATTGATCCCCGATATAAAAATCTTTTTCCCGCACCAAGTACTTGCTAACTTCCATATCTTGAATCCGTTTTAGTAACTACATACAATCATTGAAAAGGATAAAAATGCTGAGTAACTAAGTTACTTTCTTAATACTAGATTATATTTAATACGACACGTTTCTTCCGCGGTGTTTCGCGTTTCACAGAGGAGGAAACAATTGTAACGGATACTTTGCAATATTTTCGCGACAATACCATGGTTTCTCACGTTACAATGCGTTTCACGTAATCGCACTGCCGCAGAAATTTATGCATCCGTATCTGCTGTATTTTCCCGACACGATCCATGCACGTCTCGTTTTGGCAGATCGCGCAGAATTCGGACGAGATCGCGTGAAAAGGCGAGCGAAAGTAAACGCTGGCATTCTTCAGTGATTTATTTTTGTGATGGGCCCAAACGTGCAACGTCACTTCCAAAAACATGAACACCGGCAAGAACCAGCGGATACACATGGTTGCCAGTAAGAACACGCAAACTGGGTGTATCTGGCCGAAGCACGTTCCAACGGGAACGGGTTCCAATTCCATCAGATTTTCCCTCTTCTTAGAACCGTCCTTAGTCGACAACGTTTCCTTCACTTCTTTCGGTATCTAAACAATTGCTATTTATTAATATTATTATTACGTCTTTACTACACCCTTAATATACATAAACATGTAAGCAGGGTTACCAGACAACTTTTTCCATTTGCAAAATGTTTACTATAATTTATAAGAAGAGCATGGTGACCTCCTAGAGTTACTTGCAACAAATAAATAATAATATGTTATTTAGACCATTTAGATGTATGTCTGATCCTTAACAGGTCCGATTTAAACATTGTATTTGAATACTTTTCGCTTGAAGATAAATCTGGCTTAGATATCAAATATTTATGAAAATTTAAGCAACTGAAGTGATTAAGATTATACTTCAGAGAAAATTTTTCGTTGTTCTCTTAAAATCTCCTATCAAAATATAGGATATCTTTTACTAAATGGATAATAATAACGCGAGGACATCTCCCAAAATTACTAAAAAATAGGAGGACGGAGGGGCAAAATGGAAAAAAAAGGAGGACATATCCTTCGAAAAGAGGTCAGATGGTAACCCTGATATAAAGACAGTACCGTTCGATCACAGTAAACAAACAAAAGCAGTAAACGATGTTTGTCGTCGACTCGCGCACCGTTCGCATTAGTTTTAATCAAACCTATATGTATAGGAACAGAACTTAATAATTCGAAAGCATTTACGATAACCAAGAATCGGCTAGCATTTGCAGCGCTGTAGTAGCAAGTCGAGGAAACATCGAATCGTACGAGCTCTAGCTCAAGAAATTCGATTCAAGAACTTTGTATGCATGCATGTACAATCGGAGGAAACATGAACGTTTTCCAAACACAAGATGTTATAAACGGAGGACAAGCAAATTGCACAAATTATACAGAACGGTTGTCTAAAACGAAAATTTTTTAAGACGGTACTTATTTTACCTGGAAGCGTATCTTCCGACTCTTGACTGTATTCGTTCCCATCACATTGATTTCCGGTTCTCCGGTTTCAGCATTGTTTACCGCGACCACGTGCCGTCGAATCTCGTATTCAGTCACTGGCAGACTTATGATCTCTCCGGTCTCTTCGTCGACGTAAATTCGGTCCATTTCCCTGTGAAAGAAAGATTCCTACATGTATTCAAATGTATTCGGTAAACTTATTCCCCTCTCCCCTCGCTCCGTCGCTTCCACCACCACTTGCGGACTTGTACCCCCTCTTAACACGCGATCGTTTTCTTGGCTGTGGTAATTGCGTATACAACGAAGGAAAACAAAGTTTAATGAATTCGAGCGTAGGTAAACGGATCCTCGGGGTCACTTCCCGGATACCGCGATCTATGTATACCGTTTTTATTCTAATTGTAAGGTGGTTCGAAGCGAACATTTCTCTAGTCAGAGCCTATATCGATATTTCTCCGTGTCGTCAGAATATGCCTGCCATTTCCATTGACGCATTGAGTTTCTTCCATTCCGATTAATTTGCATTCTTTACCGATCGTTTATAATTTATGAAACGAATGTGAAAGTGAGATACCGAAATAACGAGCCCGACAAACGGAAACGAAATATGCTCGCTACGTCGTAAAACCAAAGAATCAACGAAGTTGATCGGTATAATAATGCGATGCAGTCGTACGATTAACGATTAACAATTCACGACAAATAACTACAGTTTCAATTCATTTCAATCTCGATGACGAATTGATAGTTAATTTCGATTAATAATCGACGATCTTTTAAATCGAATATCACAATAAGCGAGTGTTTTTTTTCAAAAGGTGTTTGAACATTCGAAAAATCCGTTCCACATTGTAAAGTAATGATCAAAATTTTACTACACCAAGTATGCTAAATTTATGATTAATTTATGATTAACTTTTTGTCGAAATTGTGTAATATATTTCGAAAGATAAGAGTTGTAAACAATTTTAAGCGCAAAAGTATCAAAATATATTAGTATTAAAATGAAATAGGCGATCAGATCGAAAGCGTTGATTGAAATCGTTGGCCAGCACAACGTTGGTTGCGACGAACAAAGACGAATAAATGCACGCATCGAGCTATACTCGAGTCACGTGAATTTTCCTGTACTCTCATTGATTCGAAAATATTCGGTCAGGATATTCACAATGTGTGTGGCTACAAAACGTATTTGAAAAAAATATCAACCTCGAACTAAATCCTTTTTATCATAATATTTATACTTTTAAATTTCGAGCAATATATTTTTCTTCTCTAGAATTCCTTTCGTACTATTAAAAACATCAGAGATATTTTCAGATTCGATCTTACAGGCAGCTTCAGAGTCCGTTAGGTGGCTCTGTAATGTATGCAGCCTAAATTATGATCGATTAATCGATGAATTTAACAATCGATATGTTAACTAGAGTAACTTAGGAACAAATCCATTTCCATTGTGTTAGAGCGAAGAGAACGTTTAATCAAATTCAAATTAAATTAATTATAAAAAGCATCGACTTTCAGAAAAAATTCCAGTAATCTCTCTTTTTATACTAAATTACAAGATCCACTGCAAGAAAACTATCGAGCACGATAGATTCGTAAATATAAGTATTATTCTACAGTAATGTGATAGAACTACCAAATCAATGGAAAAGAAAATAGAAAAATCTATTTTACAAACGCGTTCTTATGCAATCGTGACTAAAGATTACGCATGATTTCAAAGGCAAACCTGAATTCCTTGAATAGGCGTTTGCTTCCACACGTAATACTAACGAGCGCTTAATTTCGCTCGACAGTGGTAGCGCCGCAAATTTCGTAATTAACGGTTAACGAGAATCATTGCCTGTTTTCTACGAAGAGGATACAATTGTTTTTTCTTGGAAAAAAAAATGATTACAAAGTAACAATATAATTTCTGTTGTCCGGTAAAGAAATAACGAATTTAAGGAGATTTGTAAATTTTATAGACCGTACAGTAAACGAATTTCCGCTTAATTCGACTTTTTCAAATTGGTATTGCATACGTTTCCGTATTCGTGCGACGTATCAAAAAAAAAAAAAAAATCGAATAAGGTCGTTCTCGGTACAATCTTGTACACAATACACGCATGTATAAATGTCATGGCGGAATATTTAAATAAGCTAACCTATTCTTAGATTGTGGAATATTCCAGATAAAAAGTAATGAACAGACTCATGGTTAGTAGTAATTGGTGTAATTATGTTCTGATTGACGTATTACGTATTCAAAACGTGAGAGCAGGTTTTGCTGGAAGACTCGAAACAACGTTAACCTTTCGATTCGTCGCACAACACGTTAAATTATCGTTCGAAAGAATAGTGTAGAAGCGTACTTACATCCGTGATTCATTTTGTTTTAAAGTAAAATAGACTATCCTGGGCGATGCGAATAAAACAATACAAAGCGTATGTACTGGATACATGATAAAATGAATCAGGGAGGCGATGCGGTGCGGCGCGCTTCGAGAGACACAGCCGAGATATTTCGTTTGATAAATGCAACTGTAAACAGGGACAGTTAAAACCGTATCAAACAGTGGAAAAAAATTATTCGAGGTTCCTTGCAATTCGCGAGATTCTGGCGTAACAAAGCATTCGCAATTTTCTCCAGAAACAATCGTATAATAATACTAACAGAACATTCATGTAACCTAGCATTTTTCAATAAAGTTTAAATAACGTTACCAATATGCTACCAGCTACAATATTTTTCATATCAACAACCACCGTTTATTTTTTCAATCGCCGCTATTTCCAACGAACCTCTGAATAATTGAAATACTGGACATCGATAGGTTAATTCGCTTATTCCGATGATTTTCCATCGATGCAATCGAATGGAAGGTCGAGTAAATTGGAGAAGGGAAAATTATTGGAAGATGGCACGAACGACGAGTTTACCAATTTTCCTGGGTTAAACGGTATAATTTATCAGGAGATTTTCCTCGTTGTACGTGCGTTTCAAATAAAAAACGCCAAGGGAAGAAAAGCTATTCGTGAACCCGAACGCGCAATGAACAATGAACACCGATAAGTGAATCGACGACGGCCGAGAGCAGTCATTCACATGGTTGAATAGAATTCAATAGCATTACACTTACGGGATGGTAGCGTGACTGCGTTCGTGCAACACGCTTGTCGGTAGAAGCGTACTAGATAATTGACTCGGTCGTCGATGTAGAGTAGATCGAGGAGGTTACGCGACCGACGGAACGTCACTTCGCCTCGGAACGATTTACACTCCGATAGAAAGTCTAACAAATAATTAGTTACGCGTGGAGCACCGTGTTGGTAGGAATTACGTATTGCAACATATTACGACGCGAAATACCGTTCCGAACAAACGCACGCAACTCTTGGCGCAGCTGTAAGAGTCAGACTGAACTGAAGGTGTTCGCCATGATAACCTGTAACTACGCGGATTGTAGATGGACGTGTTTACCAATCGAACAGCTCGATCCAGTGTCCAGTACATGCAACTATATATGTACAGCAATAACAAATACAAACGTGTGTACGTTTTATCGTGCCAGACAAAAATTGTTCGATTGAAAATAAACCATTATCGTGGAAAAATCCGGTAATATATCGTTCTAAACAATCGTTTCGTAAAGTCAACTTTTTATCGAACATTACAAAACAAGAATGCTGAACTATTTTTAGCGAAGTATGGTACGGTTAGTCGCAGCGGTTCAAGATATCATCGATATCGTAGTTCCAACTACATTTTTCTAAAGCGCAGTTCACACGCTAATTTGTTTTGCATACACAATGTTGCAATTACAAAGTATACTCGTTCGATATTCTCTCGGGTGCTGAAATAACGATACTAACGACGGAAGCTAGTCTCCTTTGTGTGTTGACTGTTCAATTTTAGATTCGAGGAAACTACAACAAAGTCATCTGACATTTCCTGAACTACCGTAGCATGAATATTATTGAAGCTCTGTTTCAGGGGATCCCTTAATTTTAATTGTACCGTACGAGTACAATTTGTAATTATTATCGTTCTCGAAATTCATTTTAGAAAAGAAAGAGTAGGTACCGTGCAAGGATTTTGTACAGATACATTTGTGTGTTTGTATTTTATGTAGTAGAGATTTTCCAAGCAGGAACAGACGAACAGATAACATTTACATGGCGCAATGGGAGATTCACCATGTGACCTAAGATGACCACCATATTTCCTAAGATGAATAGAAAACCGTATTATCGTATATATTATATCAATTATAATTCGAATTATTCGTGCACTTTTCTTCAGACGATGGTGAAAATAAAATTGTTTGTCTTCTATTTGTTATCTTAGCGTATAAAAATAAAGATCCGACTCGCTTCGCTACGTCACGAACGTATTCACAAGTTTAACTCATTTACCACGAATTTTGAAAACGTACATCGTACGTACATACGATATCTTAACGATACAATCATCAGCGTCAGAAGATCAACCAGAATTTATGACAATCGTTATTGTTAAATTATATGTTACTAAAGAATATGCATAATATACGTATAATTTGTAGTATGCAAAACGTTTACTAAAAATGTACTGCCGAAAGGGAAGGGACTAGTACGTACATATATGTACATATATTCTAAAAGCGGAGTATGCAATCGACGATCGCTTTTTTATCTGCATAAAATAGATAATGCATCTCTGTAATAAAAAAAATAACAGTGAATCAATCGGTGAGATATTACGTGATTGCTGACACTGATAATGGAAAGGATGTTTGTTGAAGTACTTAAAATAGACACATTAGATTTACGGAATTTGTATTCAATTGGACAGGTATTTCGTTACCTGCCTTACAAATATAAATAAATAAATGTTGTTCTTTGTATGTGTTACAAGTTCAATGAATTATAAGTTTCCCTAGTAAAACAACGGTCTTACATTTCCGAAATCCCAGATATCCACAGTTTATTTCGCGAAAAGAACAAGACGATAAACTTTGATTTATTTTTTTTCTTTTTTCGTGTGTATGAAGTATCGGACTCAAAGTCTGCTTGAATAAGAACTCGATAAAAAATGTTTACTTTCAAGAAGTGGACAAGTTAAGATCATGTCAGTGTTCCATCGTTTCACCGAAAACGTGAGGATTTCTTTTTTCTTAATTATTTAATTTATTTTTCGATAGGTCGGAGCCGATTTCATTCCGATTGCATAAGCAGTCTCTTGAATGTTCGGAAATGAACTCATATACATATGTATAGATGGTGACGTTCCGATAATCTGCCCGCGAAACGAAAATGAATAACTTTTGCTTGTTTAATCGATACGCCAATACGCGACCAGCGTTCAACGAGAAGTCGAGCGATTAACTTATTGTGCGATACCTGTCGTTTCACGGAGAATGATAAAATGGATAAGCATCGGAAGCACGATGAACACAAACACGGTGTATCGATGGATCCGATTAGCGGTAGCGCTATCGCCGAACACGTTTCCCAATTCACCGTGACGGATGCAACGGTTGCGAAGAATTTTGCGTCAAGACTCTGCCGAAGACCGCCTGCTGGTTATAAGAAGTAATCGTGTCATTTTTCGATCGTATCGCGTATACTCTATCGCACTAGGAATTGACTCTTGATAGATATATTTTCGTTGCCTTGTTTTGAATCTTACCAGAGGAAAAGATGAAATTCCCTTCTTCGTGCCACACAAGAAGCTGCTCGAGAAGATCGATCACAAGCCCAAGGTGCTAGAGCCACTGGTGAGCTTCAGGGCTGAGGGTTGTGGGTTACAGGGCTCTTTCGCGGCGTCTAAAGAAAATTGCTTTCGTAGACTGGATTCGGCGGGCAACAGGAAAAGATTAGAAGAGAAGTCTGCAAACCGTATATTCCGTTAGAGAAGCCGGAAGTTGATTCCGAGTCAGCCAAGGTTGCTTCTGAACGGACATGGAAGATCTCGAGTAACGAAAATTCTATGCGACACATTTAAATCGATTTATAATGAAAATATTATTTATAATGAATAATTATTTATAATGACAAATTAAAATTATACACGCGTAGCAACAAAAACAAACTTGGGCACAATTGTAATCGGAACGAATTTTCTTTCACTGTACTCTTATCGAACACGAAGAGGTCCCAAAGGATGCAGACGCACCTCCGTTGGTCGATCAGCTGGAGCTGATCCGGCAGCTGCGAGACGATCCGAAAATTGGATTTTTCTACATGATCTACGCTGTAGAACGATCCTCGAAGTACTTCACCCCCTATGCTCTCAAGTGAATATACCTACGATCTCTTTGAATTTCTATATCCGTGTTACGAAGGAGATTTCATGGTGCGTTTTTGCGGTCCGGTGCTTTTCAGGGTCGTGAATTACGAGGACATAGGAAAAACCTACATGACAATTAGCGCAAACGGGGTAACGCAATACTCGCCCGACGAAGTCAGTTTCACGCCGATCGAACAATGGGAAAGGGAATACCATTTTTATTTGGAACTAATAAAGGTAGACAATTCGCAATTTTCAAGCAACCTTTATTCACCTAATCACTTATACTTTATTTCAGATAAGATCCTTCGTGATATATCGTAAGTGGAAGGCCTTCTTCGTTTGGAGGAAATCGGTCTCCTGCAGGAAGTTCCTGGAAGCGAGCAGTTATTTGGAAGACAATCTTTTTATATCGGATCCGATTCTCAGCAAGGCTCTGTTGGAGATTAAATCGATGTGCTCGGTTTTTCTCGAGTCGAGCTTCTTCGACGGTACCACCACCGAGAAACTGTTGCTCTTTTATTTTGTGGAGAAGCAGGTCTTAACGCACAGCACTCGATTAATTAACCGTCGTACGTAAAAGCACGTTCGAACAATGTTCTTCTTCTATCTGCGTAGCTCGCGAGTTTGGAACAAACGAGACAGAAGTTGGACGAGTTTCGAGTATTGGCGAAAGATATCATCAACAATGCCTGTCTGGGCGCGCTGCTACGAGCTGGATACACTCCGGACGATTCCAATATAACGATAGAGCAGACTGCTTTTGGCAAATTGGGTAACCATTTTGTTGATTATTTGCTTGCTAATAATTAAAGGCAGAGTTTTAGGTAAAAGTATGTTTATTGAACACACGGAAACGCAAGATCTAATCTGCAGGCTTGCACGTAAGAGCTTAGAGACAACGAGTGTACTCGTAAGCTGCTCACCGAC